TATATATATATATATATATATATATATATATATATATATATATATATATATATATATATATATATATATATATTCTTATTTCTTAGATATCAATTAATATATTCTTATTTCTTAGATATCAACGAGTGCGATGCTAATCCTTGTGATGTTAGTGAAATTTGTTCTAATACCAACGGGTCATTTACGTGCACCTGCGATGTAGGATATGAAGCCAACGGAACCAACTGCACGGGTAAGCCATTAGAAACTTCCACCTATAATGACCGATTTTAGACTCCGCCTCCCTCATACCCAACTTAATCTACGATTTTACGAATTTATGTTTTCGAAAATTGACATCTCGCAAGCACCCTTGTTTTTGAGGTGGGAGAGTGCACTCATACACCCACTACTCAACAGAGGGGACTTTTGACTACGCATGTGCGATAAACGGAATGGCGGAAAGGACGTGAGCGCGGGTTTGTCCGTGATGAATTCCAAAAACAAATAACGATAATAATGAAGTCGTTTTCTTGGTTTTCTTATTCCAACTTAGAAGTGTTTGGTTGGTAAATAAGAATGTGAAAGTATAATTAAAAACATTGTTGCAGCATCTTAATTTTGTCGTACAAGTATCTGAGTGTTTGCGTACAGATAACATCTTACAAATAATGCGTACAACTAACATCTTACATTGATGCGTACAAACAACATCTTATACTGTGAGTTCAAAATATTTTTAATGAAAGGAATTCTTGTAATTGCTACTTATTGCCAAATAATTAGTTAATTTAGAATACGAAGAACCCTTTCCACAATATAAACAAGAAATCGGTTGACAAATTGCTATGAAACGAGACAACGAAAACAGGTTACAGAAACTGGTGATTTTACAAATGTGTCGAGTTGCTCTGCCAAGATCGCCTTTAACGTCGTTCGAAATGTCAAAGTTTGAAGAACAACATTTGCGAGGGAAAGACGTTGCCCCCTACCCCCCAAATATTTCGCGGTGGGACAAGTCCCCTCTGTTCCATAACACAACTTTTGCATTCTCTAATGCTTCCCTTTCCCCAGGAAAATGGCTGAGCGGACAATTACTGAAATTATTTCTAAATTATTAATTAAAATAATTCGTAAAATAATTAAAATAAATAAAACTGATTTTGCTTTATTATGTTCAAAACAGCTTGTCGGTAAAAAACAGCTTACTTGTATTCCTGACTAAGCATTTCAAAACATTTTGCGAAGCGTTTCAGATTAAATTTTACATTAAATCAAAGCTCACAAAATGGGAAGGAATATCCAAATCACAATTTGCTTCCTCCGGTGTATACCAAAACTGCAAAAAACGGATTCGTTAAAATGATCCATTTGAATTTGTTGTCTCAGATGCGTCTTCTTTGACAAATATTATTTTGTCAACAGAACGGAAAACTTGGTTACAATAACCCAATTTGTGGTTTTTTTAACCTATATTGGTCAAATAAGTGCATCGAAGACAACAAACTCCAATTTGTTATTTTAACCAATCTGTTTTTACAGCAAATTGGTTGATTTACATAATATTCTTAACTTGAGTAATCTCGACCGAATGTACGCCGAAATGATTCAACAGTATTTTAATTTTTTCCTCATGGTTTGGAAAATGGCAGGAGAAAATGAAAAAATTCGAAGAGATTTGCCAGCTGAAGCAATTTAGCTACAGTATAATAGGGTGCATTCAAGTTTATAATTAAGTCCTGCTCGCCCGACAAAGCCAAGACTAAACTAAAGCCGAGTTACTCCAGTCATTAACCCGCAGTCGGGTGAAACAACGCGAGTCAGCTTTCTAAAGGGTTATTCTATACCTTTACATTCGCTTATAATTAAGCCAAAATCATCGGATTACAAATAATTTTTTTACTTAATGCATGTCTAAAATGTATCTCAAATCACTTAATTAAATTGAGAGAGAGATTAGGAATAAAAATTATTACTCCTGCTTAGAGGAAAATTTCTTCGTAATCACGGTTCTAGAAGTATTAGAGAGTTTTAGATTCACGTTTACGGCAAACATCAAACCGCTAACGAAGTTTTTGATTTTACAAGTCTATTATAACAGCTTTTACACCAGTTTTGAAATATAAACAATTATTAAACTTGTGCTCTTTAGCAATGATTTATAAGAAAGCAAATTAACCACTAGTCACGTATTCGCGAAAGCAGTAAATTATGATTTGGCGTTTGAAGTTTACGTTTGGCGTATAAATTTCATGCTTTGAACTGCTATGAGGGATTGTATAGTCGTTAAAGCATGAAATTTATACGCCAAACGTAAACTTCAAACGCCAAATCATAATTTAATGCTTTCGCGAATACGTGACTAGTGGTTAATTTGCTTTCTTTTAAATCATTGCCAAAGAGCACAAGTTTAATAATGGTTTATATTTCAAAACTGGTGTAAAAGCTGTTATAATAGACTTGTAAAATCAAAAACTTCGTTAACGGTTTGACGTTTGCCGTAAACGTGAATCTAAAACTCTCTAATAATGAAAACTCAACGCGTGTTTGGCGAAATATTCTTCTCACACTCATTAATAATTGACAAGCTTACTGGCAAATCATGTCAACCGTGATATGTCATGACGTGCAGTGGCTTTAAACCTGATAAAACACTCCTAATTAGCGTTCTTTATATGAAGAATTATACTAATAAGGCAGTATCTATTGTAGGCGTATCCTCATTAATATTATTTATTCCCGAGCCAACGGCGCGGAGCGCAGTTCCGGGCGTAAGCCCAGGGCAAGGGTACTAATCCCCTCCGGCTATTTACACTCGGGGAAACGAAAGCATTAGCCAAGTCTAAAGTTCATCAATGATCGCGGGCGTGGCTCACCAATGGTGTTGAGTGGGTGGTCATCCTCACTAATCTCAAAGATGTGGCTCATTGCTTGTAGGAGTGGGATAAGCAAGATTTCAATTTTAAAAGACATATATTTGGAAAATTGTTTCATATACAACAAGCTTGAAGCAATTCTGTTTGAAGGAATAACAAAAATTGATTTACTATGGGAAATCGTGAAATATACAGCAAGTTTGCTTTGAATATTTGATGAATAATGCTTTAACTTTTTGCCTAAAACATGAACTGTTTTCCTTTTCAACGAAGCTCTAAGTTTCATAAATTACCGTTTAATTTGAGAAAAAATCTTAAAATGTAAAGGAGAACAAATTGATTTGGAGGCTGAACTGAAATCGCTTTAGAATTTGTTTTATTTGTAACTTATTATGTTTTACTATTAGTTTATCGGTAAATGAACTATAGCTGGATGAACGTTTCAAAACATTTTACGAAGCGATTGAGGTTAAATTTTACATTAAATCAAAGCTCACAGAATGCAAAATAACATTCCTACAGTATCTATTTCTGAAATTTATTGTTGTGTAGTTAAAAGTACGAATCTTTCAACTATTTTGCAGTTTTGTACAAAAAATATGAAAAAATTAAATATTTAAGAAAATCGTGTTGTCATGGCAACACTTGAGCGCGAGCCTGCGTCCAGTGGGCCATTTCTGAATACTTCATGTTAATTTAATGTTTGGAAAATATTGGCGAGGGGTTACTGCATGCATGTATTTCTAGTATAAAGAATACCAATAAGGCAGTATATCCATTGCATTTGTATTCGTGTTTGAAGCCTACGCGCTCATGGCTTTAAATTAAACCTAATAAAACACTCCTGCTCGTTTATTAGTATAGGTAACAGATTGGTTTCGAGTGCAATTTGGATATAACATGCACGAGTGAGTTTTTCAAAGACTTCAAAATAGCACGAGTCCAAAGGACGAGTGCGATTTGAGGTCTTTGAAAAACTCACGAGTGTATGTTTATCCAAATTTCACGAGAAACCATGCTATTACTTATTAATAAATGCATAAAAATGTTCGAGACAATTGTAGTTTTAACTTACGCGTATATAGCGAACATTCCACCTGCAAAGTTTTCCTGGCTTTGTTATATCACATTTACAACGCTAACAGCTTGAAAATTCCACTCAACTATGTAATTTTTGTTAGTCTTGTTTAAGGTAAATGCTTTTCCATTCAAAAATGAAGATAAAAGCCATATTTTCCACGCGAAGGCGACTTTTACTTTATGTAGTGCGGCGCCATGTTTGTTTTGTTTTGAAGCAATCTGTGACCGTTACTTCTTTAAACTATATTGCTTTTAACTGATTTGTTGATTTAATCATCGCAATATTTTTCCACCAATCAGATCAGTTTGTTACAGATTTTTGCACTGTGATTACAGAAAGTTGCACTGTGATTACAGAAAATTGCACTGTGATTACAGAAAATTGCACGGTGATTACAGAAAATTGCACTGCTATTTGGGATTAACTGCACTGAAATCAACCAATCACAGTCGAGTAATATCTTTATGTATATTATTATAAATATAATACCATGATCACCTCGATTTTCATTGTTCTGAAAAGGAATGTGAATCCATATTTCCCTCACTACCCATGCATACGCTTTTGTCTTAGAAATTTCCACAAGAATTAAGAAATTTAGTGGAAAACAAAAGTTTTTTATCTTCTAATTTTCCCCTGCTAAAGAACACAAATTTAATAATTGTTTAATATATTTTATAACTGGTGGAAGAGCTGTTATAATAAAACTCCGTTAGCGATTTGACGTTTGCCGTAAAAAGGTCTCTAGTGCCTGACGACACCATCCCACACACCAACGATCACTTTGCCAGTTTTTATTCCGCAATTTTGAACAGTTTAATCGCGGGATAAAATTCGGTCTATGCGCATGCCTAAAAAGAATGAAGAGAGAGATGAGTTTCTGCTCGTGCGTATATATATGAAAAGTGTTCATCCCACAATCATAAGACAATCAAACAGCATTAAAAACAGACCAACACCTCGTGCGACACCCTCGGTCACAGGGCCTTTTTTAACATACAAGCTGGGGGGGCATTTGCCCCCCCCAGTCCCCCCTTGTGCCCCCCCACGAAATCACATTTTGCCCCCCCCAGGAAAAGTCCCTTTTTCCTAAAATTATACAAACAATCCAGCGAAGATTAACAAATAGATAAACGGAAAGTAAGTTTTATGCTTTATCCTTTGTTCTTGTTTAACAAAATCGAATTAAATTGTTACTTTTTTTACCACTAAGCCATGATAAATTATTGTTAATATTTTTTTTATTTTTTCGATGCTCAGAATGCAGAAAATAGCATTTCACGATTTCAAATTTCAAAAATTTTCTTGGGATTATCCCTCTAATAAGTAATGATAAATTACAGTTAATATTCTTTTTTACTTTTTGTGCATTTTTCCATCTTTTATTTCAAATATAACTATAGTTAGCATAAATTTTAGAGCAAATTTGGATGCTCAGAATGCAGGAAATGGCAATTCCGTGGTTTAAATTTCAAAAATTTTCTGGGGGAGTACACCCCCACACACCTGACCATTGCAATCCTCCTTTAATAAGTAATGATAAATGATGGTTAATTTTTTTTTACTTTTTGTGTGTTTTTTCCTTTATTTATTTCAAATACAAGTATAGTTAGGATAAATTTTGGAGCAAATTTGGATGCTCAGAATGCAGGAAATGACATTTCCGGGAGTCAAATTTCAAAAATTTTCCCCAGACCCCCCATTCATGCGTGGTATATTTGCCACACACGTGGCTTTCAGCCATTGCTATCCCCCTCTAATATATTATCTCTCAGAAAGGTCCCTTTTCAAAAAATGCCCCCCCCACGGGAAAATCCTTAAAAAAGGCCCTGCTCGGTCATCATAATATTATAAACTAATAACATATGGTTGACTAGTCGGGAAATTGGCGATTAAATTGCCCTCCGCCTAGGGAATATTTGTGAAAGTCCTCGGGCTTCCCCCTCGGTCTTTCACAAATCCTCCCTCGACGTCGGGCAATTTAATCGCTAATTTCCCTCTAGTCGTGTTATTACTCATAAGTACATAATACCGCGGGTGCTTAGCACAAGCAGTATTATAAATATTTCGCCAATTATGCAAACACAAGTGTGATTTTTCATTAATACTTCGAGAACAAGTGTAATTTCCCATTAATATCATTTATAGTTAATTTTACACAAGCAATCAATATATCAATATAATAGTCAAGCGAGCACAGCCATACGCGTGCCTTCGTCAATTTTGAGAGTAATTTCTGACATTAATTTTCAATTCATACGTTCATACGTGTGAAAAATTGTGAATAATCTTTATTTCTTCTTTATCTTTAATATATAAACATACTTTAAAAGCGCATTGCAAAATAAGAGCTCGGAAAATATAAATTTTCAAGTTGTTTTAATATTTATATTTTGAGATTTGTGTTTAATTCACACGGGCTCGTATCCGTGCCGATTAATCTTTAATCGGCACGGATAGGAGTCTTGTGGCTAACATTAGAGAAAGTTCGACTTCCAATACCAATACCAATACCGATACTGATGTTTTCACATCGTTGTCATTTTGGTCCCGTGAATTTTAAAGCGTTGAGTTATCACGACAGATAAAATATAGAACACATCAATCGTCACCGAAAATGGGCGCTATACTAAACTGCAGCTGAGCTAAAATTCCGACTAAAACATGACTCAGGCGATGCTAATAAACAAATAGTTTACATGTTTATCTAGCTTGCGGAGCGGC